GGATATAAAACCCATGACAGAATGGACTTTAGCCCACATAATCCCCTTCAAACAGGGAAATATCTGTCTGGATTTTACCTGCTGCACACAACGCTTGAAACATATTCATGAGAAAAGCTGACGTGGCCCACAGACCGCTAGATGAGGTTCACTGATATAAAGGAATAAAGGGCCAATCAAGACTTCAGCACAGAACGGTACCTTTGAAAACAACCAACTTTATCATTTTGGGAATTACAATTGTACTTTTAATATTTTTTCAAAGATATTTTAGCTACAATTTTAAGCATTATTATTGAATAAACTGCTGTACTTCCTGTCACATGTTTAACCTTTTCAACTACAAATGCAGCACATTTAGGGCCAAAACAAATACATTTGAATAATTCTCGCAGCTTGTTTTTCTTCCAAAAATTCTTTTTCACCCTAAAGACCCTAAAGAAACCCTTATATTTTATAACATAAAATACAGACTTCATTTCTAAAAGGCTATATTTTATGTTGGGGTACATTCCGGAAGTCAATCTGAAAAAAGGAAATATCAAACAAAGACAACCAAAAATTCACTCATCATTTAATGGAAGAAGCCATTTTTTGTGTTTAGAGAATCAAACGTGGCTTGAACCAGGAAAACCGTATTTGGGACAGACAAGTAAAATGATAAGTTTGGCCTGTGTTGATGATGCAGCGTGGTGCTGATGTGAGTCACATCTCTAAAAAGAGCTGTTGAATAAACCTCTCTCATCTTCTACGCCCCCACTACTCCAACGGCGCTCACATCAAGCTCACCAGCCACTAATCGCCCATCCACACTGTATCCGTGAAAAAACCTCCAACTTTATGACATGTTCTAGCAACAGGTAAACACTTCTCTTTTGCTTTCTCAGGCTCCCGGCTGCAGCTGTTTTCCTCCCTCAGTCTGAAAAATTCATCCCCGTCATATCAGGTTTAAATAGAGAAACGAGGGCATCTGCAGCAGGCCTGCTGGGCTAGGAGCTGTTTGTTGCACGACTGTCAAATTCATAAATAGAAAGGTTACAATCCAAGACAGGAGCCGCGAGTGGCGTGGCGTGCTGCACATCAGCTCGAGATGCTTGCTTTAATCAGACTGAAATATCACTAGATTGAGATGGTACAGAGCTCTAATTAACTGATATCTGATGTTTGATAGAGAGTCACTGATGAATTTTGGATCTGAAGATTTCTGTGTTAGAAGGCAATTTACTAAGATGTTTTTTTTATCTGGCAAACCTGACAGCCTGAGATCTATTAAAAAACAAAACAAATGCAAACGCATGAATATAAATGTCAAAACAGATTGAATCAGACAACTGTGTGTTTGTTCAAGAGCCCCACCACAATCCCTCACAACAGAAATCAAATCAATCACACACAGCAAGGCAGTTAGACTGAACTGAAACGTAAAAAGTTGTTTAAAACATATTTGTGGCATCTTGAATAATCCCAAACATAATTTATATTTTATGTAGACAAGTAAAAAACTAAACAGATTGAGACAGAGGCTGTGCTGTTAGAAAAAATAACACTATAGGTAAGAGACACAATGCCAGCTATAATTTAGATTATTCCAGCTCAGAGTGGTTCTATCTGTGCCGTGTGCCCTGCTTGCTCCATGAGTGTTTCAGTGGCTTTTATGTAGGGCTGGGCAGTATATTGAAATTTTTAAGATATTGACATATTTTCTAACAATAAACAAGATGAGCTTACATCAATACAACTAGTCAGCTTGCTCCGTCTCTTAGCGGTCATTACACGTATTCTCACACATCTGCTTGATCAGGAAACCTCTGGGTCAATGTTTTGCTCTAAACTTTGAATTAGGTTTGTGGTTTTTAATTATTTGAGGGCGTTCGCTCGAGTTTCAGGGAAGTAGATTCTTTATTACAGACTCAAGGTCCAGTGTCCAATCTGTTGATGAATTCATGTATATCATTTCTCAAGCTTGAAGGGAGTTAACTTGGAAATATTTCACAGGAGGAAAAAGTATCGAGATTTATATCATATGTCAGAATTCAGCTAAAATATACTGAGTTAAAAGTTTTGGTGCTAATCGCCCAGCCCTGCTTTTATGGTTTTAGTACAGAACATTTAATTGCATAGGTGCTTTTAGAGTATGGTCAGTGCACCTGGTTTAGTGGACGTTTGAGGTGTGTTAGTTGTCCGTTTTAAATGTGAAACCACAAGCCTGTTACACTGTTATGTAAAGAACTGTGAGCTAGGGAACACAAACATGACAAGGGATTTTAGCTATTTACTACAATTATTTTAAGTGGTAGCAGGCAGAGCAAATTATTATTTTCCAGATTCATACATGGCTCCAACAACTGATGATCCAGTTTATTAGTTTCTTAGACTTGACAATAAATTTGAGTCCATTATCAGCAAAATGAACAGGATCTGAGAGACTATTTCATTGTCTGCTGTATTTAGTCTGACTTTTAAACTTTTTTAGTAAGGGTCAAAGAGCGTCTTTGCTTCTGTTCACCAGGAAATTAAAAAAGTAGATATAAATAATTGGTTAATAAAAGGCAAATACTTTGTATTTTACTTAATTTTTTATTCACAAAAATTAAGTGGTCCGCTTTGTTTTCTCTGACCAGACATTAGTGAAAGTCTGGAAAAAAGGAAGAAAAAAAAAGATTCGAATGTACGTCGAGGACAGCACAAAAATCACACAAGGGCAGCCGCTTTCAAAAACATTAGATATGTATCGGAATCAGTACCACATATGAAAGTGACACGGATTGGATTTGAAAAAGTCAAAAAACAAACCAACAAACTTCCTGACCAGAGGTGGTTTTATAAAACAGATATAAAAAACAGACAGATCTGAAAGTGATAATCCACCCCTAATAGAAATGTATCCTGTTGCTATATTCCCCAGAGTTAGATAAGAGAGAGCATTTTGTAACTAGCACAGTTCTCCTCCTAATCTGGCAGTTTTCTGTTAGTATTAACAAAGCAAACTATCTACCAGTCCATCCTTATCGTTCGATAATCTGGGGTCGGGTCACGGGGGGCAGCAGCCTAAGCAGAGAGGCCCAGGCTGCCCTGTCCCCAGCCACTTGGGCCAGCTCCTCTGGGGAAATCCCAAGGCATTTCCTGGCCAGTTGAAAAACACAGGCCCTCCAGCATGTCCTGGATCTTCCTCTAGGTCTCTTGGACGTGCATGGAAAACATCACCAGGGAGGCATCCTGGAGGCATCCTAACTAGATGCCCAAGCCAACTCAACTGGCTCCTCTTTAAGTGGAGGAGAAGCGGATCTACTCCAAGTCCCTCCTGGATGATCGTCTCGGATTTAGAGGAGCTGATTCTCATTCCAGCTGCTCCACACTCGGCTGTGAACCGCTCCAGTGAAAGCTAGAGATCACGTTCTGATGAAACCAACAGGACCAAGTCACCTGCAAAAAGCAGAAACCTGATCCTCAGGCCACCAAAAGATCCCCTCAACACCTAGATATCCTGTCCATACAAGGTTTGAACGGAATTGGTGACAAAGGGCAGCCTTGCCAAAGTCTAACTGCCGGCAATGCGGACCAAGCTCTGACACCAGTCATACAGGGACCTAACAGCCCTTATCAGAGGGCCTGGTACCCCATACTCCCAAAGGATCCCCCACAGGGCACCCTGAGGAACAGGGTTGAACACCATCTACAAACCTACAAATCGCATGTGCTGTACTCCACCGCTGCAAGACACAAGGACATGATGCAGCGGCCCCAAAACACACCAACTATGTCTAAGTGGTTATTTTTGATGCAACTTACTATGCTGTTTCTTAAAAAAACTGCACTGGTCACACTTTTGTGTTTACAGAAGTAGGTAAAGTATCTGTTACCACTGTTCCACACAAATCATTGAAATGCTAGCTGCTACTGTTCACCTAAACTGGTAATGCTAAGCTAAAGCTAACAGAATACTACCAGACTGGGAGAATGACTGGGCTGGTTACAAATGCTTTATCCCACTTACCCAACTCTAGGGAACATAGCAACAGAATACATGAAAACATTAGTGAAAAAGTCATTCATGATATGGAGAAAAACCATTTAGTTTTCGTTAACGTAGATTAAAAATAACATTTTAACACCTATTTTAAAATGCTGCTGTGAAAATGAGTGGAATAAATAACAATAGTGACTGAAGCGAGCTCATCCTATTAGTAGACGGTCTGATCAGCGTTTTACTGCAATAAACCTCTGCAGAATTTTCATATTTAAAAACAAGATTACAGATGTCCTGTTCAAATGTGATTCTTTCAGAAAACGTGTCCAAAAATAATCAAATCCTAGCAGATGTGGTTAACTTGAATCCCTAGTTTGATCACTCCAGTTGGGCAAGACACTAAGTGTACATCAGATGAGGTATTTGTGAATCACACGACAGAAAAAAGGCACAAAGTTGTATGAAAGTGTGTGAACGTAGATAAATAAAGCTTAACTGAGATAAAAAAATAAACCTCCTCAAGACAAAACAGACAAAAACAGAACACAATTGCTTCTCAGTTATAAATTCAACAGTGAACTAAACTCATCATTGTCAACGTCTAAGGTGCAAACAAGGTTGATTTTTAGTGACACTTATTATCTATAAAAAGAATAAAAAGTTTTCTAGTGAGTGTCTATTTTGTCATTTCTGGGTTCCTGTAGTGACAGAGGGATGAGAGGCGTGGCTGTTAATTTAGGATAGAAAAGGTTCCCTGTAAGAGAATAGTTAGCATGACTATTTGGGTTTATTCTACATTAAAAACAGCATTTTTATTCATATTTATGTCAGCAGCCTGAGATCTTTAAACGTCAGACTGAACAGTGGGCCAGTCAAATAGCTGAGAAGGAATAAAAAAGTCATCAGGAGCATCCAGCTGATGTCCAGGTCAGGTCATGTCACGTTGTTCGTTTTGTTCTACATCATGAGGTGATGCTACTCTCAGCTTAAAGTATTTCATAAATCTCACTCAGGTAGATTTAAACATCTTTACCTGTCTGGCCTCAGGTTCCTCCATGCTGTATTGCGTACCAGCTGGCCCCTCGCTCACTTTGTCTCCCAGAAGGAAACCCAGCCGCGTCATCAATGTGTTGGCTGCCTCATCCACCGACGGCGGGGGCCCCAGCTCGCGGCTCGACTCCCCTGCAGATGGAGGAATACGTCTCAGTGGTGTGCAGAAACAGAAGAGCAGCTTAGAACCTTCTTACGTCCGTTTGCCTTCAAATATTTACAACAAAAGCTGTATCTGTTACCGCTGTTCTACACAAAACCCGGCACGGACGACAGACCTGGACATGGGATACACACCTGCACTCAGAAAAGCAAATTACACGCTGCACCTGAGCTTCCCCGCTGCTCGGCTTTGTGCACTACACACACATTCCTCAACAGCTGGATGTTCCCTTAGGAGAGAACCGCTTAAATAAACTCCTAAATCCCTTCAAGAATTGTTTCCAGCTGTTTAAAAAAACCTCCATTCATTGCAAAATGGCGTCCAGAATAATAATCGCACCTTCCATAGCACTCATCACCACAGCAGCGTGTTGTAAGGAGATCCACCCTTCATCTGTGTGTGTGTAAGTGAGAGCAGTGGGTGTGTATGCACATATCTGTCTATTTACCGAGCCTGTAAGCACTAAAGGAAGCAAAGACAAACAGCAAGGTGAGCCCACATGATGATCTAAACCACACACAAACACTTAGAGGCGGGGGATTTCAGAAAGACTCCCTTCATAACCTCACCTCGTCACCTGGTTGCCAGGTTACCCTCCGCCCATAACAAACCCTCACCGGTGGTATCGTGTTTTTCAATAACAGCTGGCTATCGGGCCCTGGAGGCGCCCACTGGATCAACTCTCGTTCAATTTGATCTTATTCACCAGAGCGTCACTTCCACAGCAGAAGAGCTTGGGTTCATTACTCACCTTCTTGGCCGCTAAAAGACTGACTAGTGGTCAGATAATCTGATGTATACACCTCCGAATCGATCCTGACGTTAATGGCATTTAATCCAAGTTGTGTTTAAAAAAAAAAGCAACAAGACAAAGACAGGAACTGGCAGGACCGGTTTTTATTTAAACACCACAAAACAGGCCGAACCAGCCCGACAGGTCGCCACACTAGGCTCTAACTGTTGGACAAGTCCCAGCCACCACAGCAGCTCTCTGAAGACAGACAGCTCGCCTAGAGCCTGTGATCTCTCACTCATCAGCTCAAAGACAGGCAGACAGACAGACAATCTGAAGCCCGGGCTCCCCTGTCCATTCGCTCACGGACAGGAACCTCATTAGATTGACTCCAAGTCTGTCTGAGCGAGTAAGTGAGACGGGCGCCTTCTGAGGGAGCAAGAAACCTTTGAATCAAATGGGGATGACATGCTGCAGAGCTTCAATAAAAACACACAGCAGCAGCTAATAATGAGGTAATCACAGCACACATTAGGTCCAAAACAAGCTAATCACACATGATGAGGTGGCTGCTTGGTTGAACCGCTTCAGGAGAATACATTTAGGATGGGAATCTGAAATCCCTGCAGGAAAGGGGAAATGTAAACAGACTAAAGTTCAGCCTCCAATGGAAAAACACAGCCGTCAATAAGACAGAACAGCGTGCACACAAATACTAAACACCAAGCACTCTGAGTTTAACATGTTTCAACACAGACGGATCACTGTAGTGCACTTTTTGGAGGCATAGTAAAGCAAATGCTAAATACACTCTAGTTTATTCCAACCGCTGCAGGCAGAGAATCAACACAAACTAAAATGTGGGGGCCAGCAACCATATTGAAAATGAAAGTGAAACAGGCTGTAAGGTTTGCTTTTGTAAACAGAATCAGCTGAGATGTTAAACTGAAGCAATGCAGCGCTTAAACAAAGTTATCGGACAGCAGAGACCACCCCCATACCCCGTTTACGCATCCATCACGTAATGTTTTGTAAAAAGACACAAATGTGCAACATTACCACCATGGTCTGACCACCTATAAATGTCCTAAGGCTCCCTGATGCCGCTTCAGCGTTGCAGCAACATGACAGCATTGTTTTGTACAAACAGCTTTAAAGGACAACTAGGTGGTTTTGGCTTGCTTTTAGCACCCCCTAGTGTCTGTTTGTGGAACCAAAAGCAAAACCTGTCTCCTCGCTGTGCGTTTGTCTTTCTAACACCTGAATCTAACAGCTGAAATGTCTCCCTAGTTTTCATTAGTGTCTAGAGGAGTAATTCATCACTAAATGAATAAACGTTGCAAACTATGGCTTTAAAATAAAGACTTCCTGGTGAAGCTAGACATGCTAAAGCAGCAAAGGGTTGCCCAACTCAAAATTAAACCCCACAGATGGGAGGTCATAAAATTTCATGTGTGTGTAAAAACAGTTGTCCAAATACTTTAGTCAGTCTTACCAGTGGTAAATGAGGCATTTCTATGGCAGTCAGTGGTCAAATACGACAGAAATGTCGTAATATTTCTGCTAAAATAATCATGTTGCATAAAAATGACACAGGTGGAAAGCCTTATTTTAACAAACAGCTACATTTTAGGAGCTTGGGGCTGTTTTAAAATGGCAGCAGTCACGTTGGTTGTGGCTATGCTTGGACTAGCCGTTAGCTCATCATTCCTGAAGGAAGTAAACTGTTTCTCCAAACAGAGGCTGCTCAGAAAGCTATGTACAGCAGGTAAAGAAGTAATAATTTATAACTTTTACGCAGAAACACACTCAAAGTAGCTGAAATATCTCTTGCCTTTTTAGGTTGAGTTCAAATTTCCCTCTTTCCTATTCGTTTTCTCTTTCCATTTCCTTGCATTTTTTTATCACAATTCTTTAAATTAAACAATTTAAAATTTTGTTCTAATTTTAACCATATTTTAAAATCATTTTTTGTAGATTCTCTTTTGAACTTGTGAGACGCCTCATGACTTTTATCTTGAAAGGCGCTGTATAAAAGATCATCTTATTTCTTTCTTTCAAATGCTTCCATCTTTAAATCTTTGAATGATCACCCTTCTGCGTTGTAGAGGTGTTCACTTAAAACCTCTTCTGCTTCAACAGGTTCTTGTGACAAAATGGAACAAAAACATAATTATTTTTTCTCAATCTTTCTAATAGATGGTTTGGGATTAAAGACAACCAAAGTCCCAAGAAAAACACCTTCAGAACGTCTAGCTCCTTGGGGGGAAAGTTTACGGAAAAGAGTCGAGGCTTGCGTGGAGTTGTGTGTGTGTTAGTGGCTGTCTCTGTATCTCCGTGTGTCTGGATGTGGAGGCAGTGATGGCTTCACAGCTGACAGGCTGCTAGTAGTGAGCAGTGAATACATTAGCAGTGATTAGTCAACTGCTCCTGGGGGGCTTGTGGCTCTGGCCAAATGGACCCTATAAACCTCATTCTGCCACTAGAATGGCTTATTTTTTTAAATCTTTGTGTCTACTCTAACTTTCTATCCCTAAACAGTTTACCTGGACTTTATTTTGCTTCCTGTTTCCTTGGGTTCCTGTTTTTGTATACTTCAGCCATCTGACAGACGACCAACCTTCTACGAGGTCAAACATGTCATGTTTTTTATTTTAAGATGTGGGAGGAAAATCTCTAATGTAGATGTCTGGACTCGCAATAGCCCCTTTTGGCCTCGTTCTCCAAAAATACCAGCAACATACAGCTGTCAGAGTCAAGTTTTAGGGGGAAACAACAAAACATGGAGCTGTCACATGAAATCTAAATCAAAATGTCTGATTGAACCAAACAAAAACACGTCACAGCGGTCAGAAGCATGTCCCAGACTGTTATTAAGCACTCACTGCTAGCATCTGATTCAAATGAGCCATACTCAGAAACGAATCATTACCATAATCCAGGGGATGCAGGTTGATTTTCTCCTCAGTTTACAGCCCAACCTCTGGTTTTTTTGAATACATATTATGATAATCATACAAACTACTGCTTACAGTGACAACAAGCATCTACATCACTTCACAGAGAGCTGACAGCACATGGAGCATTCACAGTGCCTGAAGGGGACTTAGGCACTTCTCATCAGAGTGACACAACTACACGCTTAAAAGATAAAACACCAGCATTAAAGAAAAAATACATACATCAGGCATCAAACATGTCTCATTTTCCTCCAACCAACCCAACACACACACACACACACACACACACACACACACACACACACACACACACACACACTCCTCTGCATTGGATTCCTGAGCTGCAAGAGACAGATGGTTGCCATAGCAACTATCTTTGCACACAGCTAGGAATGTGTTTCTGTGCAAGCGCATCTGTTTCTGTCTGGCCGTCCACCCCTACACACACACACACGCGCGCGCGCACACATCAAGAAAAGCCGGAGAGGAGCATGTGTGGAGGGAGCAGGTGGATGGGACGGGTGGTGGTATTAATAGGAGCAAGTAGCAGGCAGAGATCAAAAACCACCTGAGTGCTCGACTACGAGCATGAGCTACTGGTCCGTGTGTTTAGGTAAGAACACAGAAGAGAAAGTGCACATATTTCAGATGGCAGCAAAGATATCTCACAACCAGGAAAACCAGAGAAGGGAAGACGGATCATGGGATGAGATGAGGGAAGCTCATTCCTGACGTGCAAAACGCCGATCATATCTGTGCAAAAACAATTAAGTGTTTTATAAATACGGGCACAGGAGGCAACGAGCAGACCTGCTTCATACACATGTGACCAGCAGTAGATTTCAGACAGTCAGAAAAGTATAAAACACAAAAGTGAAATACATAGTATACCAACACGTCGTTTCGTTTCTATTCAAACTAAACTCTAATTAAGACACTATGATATCAAAATATCCCTGAGGACTGAAGTCCTGAAGCTGCACTATAACATCATTACGAGTGCTTATGCTTCGTTATAAATGAAGACAGCTGGTGATGAATTTCATGAGCCAGCTCACAAAATACTCACAATATTTATGAGGCCGCAAATTTCTTTTGTGGGCCATAAAAATCAGCTGATACCCGACTCCTCCAGGTGACCGCCCATGACTGCAGTGGCAGCAGCCGCAGCAGAGTGTGAATGGGTAGGCAATCAAGTCACTGCCCTGCTGTTCCTCATGCCAGGGAGGCCTTGTTAAGAGCTCAGACCTCCATCTGTCCACCTGGGAGGTAGGAGAACTCACCCTTGAAAACCCATCCTAGCCCTCCCGGTTGCTTTTCAGCTCAGCTTATTATTGCGCACAGAGGATTCCTGTCAGTAATCAACCTCTTCCTGTGTCCGTCGCAGCACCATTTCACCCCTGAAGTGTCACACATCCACAGCAGTGAGGCCACATCACAGTCTATTTCACAGGATTTACACTAAATAAAGCCAGGGTCAAGAATAAACAAGAAATATCACAAAACAATCCAACTCATCTAAGAAGGCGAGCAAAACAGAGACTCTTGTATAAATCACCTACTTAGGATTCCCATAGGGCAGAAACTCGAAAGATGAGGCTGGTGGACGGAGAAAGCCGGCAGGGCTCGCTCAACTGCTTCCCTAAATCACACAAGTTAAGCCTCGAAGTCCTCCCCTCCCCCTGAGTCCAGACCCCGAGGGCACTGAGGTTCGCATACCCACCAGAAGTGGAGAACCACTAGACGCAGCAGCGTAGCCAGACAGAGCGAGATGAGAAAGCAGATCTATCAGAGCATCCGCAGAGTGCTATCCTCACGTGACTTCCTTTAAAGTCCTCCCTGATTGAGGAAGGGAGGAGAGGTGGAGAGTGGGGTGAGCACGGACTGTCCGCTAGATTACACAGCAAAGAGCCGACAGTGAAGTTAAGAGAAAACAGCGGCGGCACTTAAACGAGCTCTGAGAAAGCAACAAGAGAGGATTAAAGAGGCGGAGAGGGAGGGGGCAGTGAGGGTGGGCACTGTGGGCACGAGCACAGCTATCAGATTAATGACCTCAGCCATGTTTCCATCCTACAGCAACAACCCCGTTTACACACAGGAAACAACATGCAAAAGGAAGAAACATTTAAACAAACACACACACCATGAAATGAGGGATGAGCTGGCCAAAGACTTACCAGGGCAGTGTGTGTCCAGGTCTGTGCTCTTGGCAGTGGTGGAGGTGTGTGTAGGGGAGCCAAGCTCCGACTGTGGAAGGCGAGGGCTCTCCACAAACTTTGCTTTCCGCAGCGGAGCTGGGAGCAGAAAGCGCACACACACACACGCACGCACGCACATACAGAAGGAGACAACACACACAAAGACAAACATCACAGAGATGGCAGAAAGAGGAGTGACAGGGACAGGACAGAAAGGGAGGAAGACAGAGAGCTTATGAACTTGCAGCAGCGGCACACTGATCAAATGAAAACATCCCGAAGGTTTTCTTATGCAGCTTGTTTCGCCCCGAGTGAGAAGCAGCTCAAGCGTGAGCGAACCACCAGCCTGAGGAAAATCAGGAAACGGGCAAAGAGAGAACCAGAACCCTGATGGAACACCAGCCCACTGATGGAATCTGATAATACACCCAAACCTCGTGTGCATGGGCCTACAGCTGATGTTCAAACCCCCAGAAGATGGGCTCTTAAGATAAAAACAGAGTGCAAAAAAATGAGAGCCGTGTCCTTTTGTTCAGTGGCATAATCACACCAAGAGTGAGATCCATTTTAGGAATGTCCTCTCGCCTGACACCAGCACAAACATGAGACATCAAATGAGTCTTTGTGACAGGAAACTTACAGGCAGAATAGCTGTGGGTGGAAGCTGTGACAGGATCTCAGAGTACTCAGACCAGGTCACAGAATCAGGACAGAATAAAGTTTGGAAACAACAACGGGTGCAATAAACACTGGTGATCGTTTGTGCAAGGAAAAAGAAAGGTAAAAGCAACGATGTTTCCTAACGTGCAAAACGACAAGACGAAATGTGCAAATTTGCAGCTGCAATCTCTTTGAATTTGAACATGTGTGTTCTTCACATAATTGCTGCACGAATGTCTCATGAGCTCCCAGTGGACTCTGGGTGAAAATTCTCAAGAACGTCCCACTGGCGTTGCACCAATTGCTTTATGACAGTTGCACGGTCGTGTGTATTTGTTGTAAATGAGGTGGACACGGGGACCTCTCCCTGGTGAATAACTCTGTTTGCCCTCAGACAATAAGCAACATGGATCTCAGAGGTGAAGAGTAGGGATGTAAGAAAATATCGATCTGGCAATATATCGTGATATTTTTTCCCAGCAATATTATATCGATATTCAAAAGCCATGTATCGGAAATATCGATATGGCAATATATGGTGATATTTTTTCCTGCGATTATTACATCGATTTTCAAAAGCCGTGTATCTAATTCTTGAAATAATTTACATGCAAACATTTGTGTATTTTCTTTTCATTTTGTGCAATTCAATCGCCACCCGCTAGTTGGCAGCAGTGTGCAACGGGTTTTGTTTCCACCATTGAAATGTAAATCCCTCCATCATGGTTCAGATACCTCATGTTAAACAGTTACGTATCAGTTTGGACTGTTTATTGAACATTCTTACAATAAATTCTGTAAAAAAATTGCTTGTAACGTCTGACGGAATGTATCGCAATATATCGTGATATATCGTATCGTCTCCCCTGTATCGAGATATGTGTTGTATTGCCAGAATTTCAAACACATCCCTGGTGAAGAGCAGTGGCTTCTGGAAGAGGACGCAAACGTGGACGTAGACAAAGCTGACAGGTTTAAGGCTGAATGGTTTGTCCATGGCACAAAGCTGAGCTTGTTCCCAGGAAGGAATCAGCCAAGGACGTTGGGATGTCCAGAGCCTGTAGGACCTTGCAGAACAATTTAGGCAACTTATGATTATTAGTTTAGCGACCACTTGGCCACTTGGTGTGTGCTAATTTATTATTGTTTTCCAAAAAAAAAAAAAAAAACTTGCAACTGAGACAGGTTTGAGACATGAAAATTCTGCAAATAATTGGAGAAAACTTTTATCTTGCACATTTTTTCAACCATTTCAAAGTTCAAGTGCATCAGATCATGGTCCTGCTACTCAAACAAAGAAACTAAATACTTCTGCAAATGTCTCATTAACAGTTGCAGCCCGTGAGCTTTAGCCTCTAAACTATTCAGTCCCAATAAACAGAAGCTTTTCAGAAGAAAACTGACATTACTGAAAGTAAAGACACAACTGACTTGTTTCACAATTTGATGCTAAAACACCAGCTGCTTATGTTTAGTTCAAAGATAAATAAACAACTCAGCTAAACTTTGCTGCAGGAATCCCAAGCTGGACTTGGTAGGAAGACTACAGCAAACTGAGAATACAAAGAACAGAGGTTGGTACATGCTCCTGGTGCTTTTTATTTACATTTGTACTTAATATTAATGGAAAGTATTAAGTGTCAGTTTTGTGCAGTACACTAAAGAGCTATGAGTTTAAACTACAAACAGTAGTGTAGACCCTTTACCAAAGACTTCTGTGGAAACCGACTTAGAACACCTCCAGCTGCATCAGCCCTAGCAGAGCTGATACTGCAGTACGAGGCTGCTGTTTTGGTCCTTTGAAGCAATAAATTTACTGTGTCATCGTGCGCGGTAGGTCACACAAAATTAAACTTAACCATTCCATGTCCAAACCAAGAAAAGAGCTATGAGAAGAAAATTCAATCTTGTTTGTATTATTTTTCATTTGTGACAAAAGTGGCTATATTATGACTAATGATAACATAAATAAGGTGACAATAAAGTAAGGTAACAGTGTTAAGACCTTTAAATCCAACATTCCTGTATTTTTCCTTTTGTTTTCTTTTGTTTACTCATAAGTAATAGACAAAGACAAACAAAAGTGAGCTGTACCAAGTGTTTGACCTGCTGGTTGAGGGACTTTTCACAATGAAATGATACAAACTTCGCTAAGCTGCTGTCAGATAAGAACTTTTATTTATTTTTGCTTTGTCATAAATATATCTGCCATGAATTCCTTAATATCATAATATTGTGAAAGGAGTGGTTTAATTGATACATTTGCAGAGGTCTGTAGTAGGAATGAATGCTGTGTAAGTCGTTCGCAAAGGGAAAAAATATACCTGTGCACCATTTGTAGGACCTAAAATTTGCCCACATCACAGCTCAGCTTCAGATGGCAGCTTTTTTCCTGATATTTGGACATCTAGCCTCTGACTAGCAAACAGGAACACAACTCCACTAACTTGCAACATGCACGTTTTACCTCCACAAACATGATAAATGATGAATGACAATCACTTGTACAGCACCATTCTGAGTTAGAGGACTTCAAAGCGTGTTTACACTACAGTGTATTATTCATCCATTTACACCCTGATGGTGATGAGCTACGATATAGCCACAGCTGCCCTGGGGCACACTGACAGAGGTGAGGCTGCCGAGCGCAGGCGCCACCGGCCGCTTCGACCACCACCAGCAGGCAAGGTGGGTTAAGTGTCTTGCCCAATAATACAACAGCAGAATTCTCTGGTCGAAGCCGGGATTGGACCCGCAACCTTCAGATTACTAAAATTCAGATTACTCAAACAGCTCCTCCCATGGAGTTGGACTCAGCCTCACTGTGCAGTAAACTCAGATAATATCAACCATAAGGTGCAAAAGACTCTTATTGAATCCATTCGTCTTTCTCTCACTTGAGGGGGTTTGGGATGGGCAGGAGCTAAGTATAATTTACTCTTAATTGACTAATCTGGTTAAATAAGGGTTTAAAATAGATTACGCACTGTACACTGCAACTGTTAACCATTAAGGGTGAGTGCACATGTCCAAAGCAATCCGGAGGAGCATTGCTGAGCTGAACCAGAGAGCAGCAAGCAGAAAGCCATGAGCAGCAGCTCAAACATATGTTCATGCAACAAAAAGCTCCTTTCCACTTCTGTTCGTGGTTAATGTTGTGTTTGATGTCAGTGGAACTTGTCTGGATGTAATATGTGGAGAGGGAAACCATAATCAGTAAAGGCGTTGGGTTATTATGAAATGGCTGTTTCTAGCATTGCAGAACAACTATGAAGCTTTCATATTCCTAGAATTCCTAGAATAAAACCGTGCAAGTTTACCATTCTAGCAAATGTGACGGTGCGATTTACATTTAGGGATAATATCCAGCAGATAAGGAAGCATAAAATTCCTCATTTCATTTCGATCAAGGCGGTTTCCAGCTGTACTAACGGCTCTGCAGAGGCATGCAGACACAGTGGTAATCTGATGTTTAGGCATCATAACACAAACATTAACTTGATATTCAAAAGGGCAAATATTTTCCTCTAATGCCCGCTTACTGCGAGGATGCTTACATGAACTATTTCACCTCTATTATTATTATTATTATTACGTAAGTAGACTGGGAATGAAAGCCTTAGCAGACCTGCTGCCTTTTAAACTGAGATCAGAGTTTGCGTTGCGGCAGCTACTGTCACTTTTGTGTTTGCTAATGTTGACGAGCTGTTGTTGCAGTAATGATTTGGATTTGTTCCAAACATTCATCACTTGTGGTCCATGATGAAAACATACACAAACACGCACGCATGCACACACACAGACACGCACACACACACGCACATACGCACACACACACGCACGCACATACGCACACACACACACACACACACACACACACACACACACACACACACACACACACACACACACACACACACACACACACACGAAAAGAAATTACTTCAACCTTTCAGAAATTAATTTAAAAGGGAACTAGGCCATTTTTGCTTGCTTTTAGCAACCCCTAGTGTCTGTTTGTAGAACCAAAAGCTGTGCGTTCATCTTTTTAACACCTTAACCCTTTGATGCATGAATTATGAAATCTTCAACCATGATTTTTTTTAACAATTTTTTTCATTCATCTTTAGGTGTGAATGAAACAAAATTCAACAAATATTTTTTGTAAAATTTTATAATTTACAAATTTATTACATGTCCACCTCAGTGGACAGTGTGCATTCTGAACATGAAATATGTTGGCTTGGCTTACTGAAGTTCAAATGGAGGGGCTCAAATGCAATAAAGTCTTCAACAGCTGTTCTTAATAGCAAAAACAAATACTTAACAATTTTGAGTACCTGTCCACTGTAGTGACCATCATGCATCAAAGGGTTAATCTAACTGCTGAAATGTCTCCACAACCTTCATTAGTGTCTACAGGAGTGGTTCATTAC